AAAATATTACCAGCAATGCATTTTTGGAAAAAAAATATTACTAGCAATAAAAATCTTGTCGGTATTAAATTACCCACTGAGGTTGATATACCGTAAAACAAAATATATCAAACCAATCAATGAAAGTCGAAAGATTGCTAATCTAAAAAAGTTATTAAAAAATATTCCCTATTTTTCATGAGTGGACCATTTGCACAAGCTCCTTAGGTACAATATTCATTGATGTCCTTTGTCCCCCTTGCCTTCAATCTGTCCTGTCGGTGTCAAGTTTTCTAAGCTTTTATGTGCCCTAGAAATTTTAACTGTCTCTTTCTGATGTTAAGAATAAGTGTCGTTTTCGTTTTCATTTTCTCTAAAACTTCGTAATTCCCCACATGTTCAGTCTACGGTATTCTCAGTATCCTTCTGTAGAACCACATTTCTGTTGTCTCAAATCTCATAACTGTTAGGAAATTGTCCAGCATTCTCTCCTATTACAGAAAAGTTAAATAATCTTTTCTTTATTTCTAACAAAATATTCCCGTTTCTTAATACTTTTCTTGGATTTTGGAAGGCACATTTCGCTAACCCAATGCGCATTCAGATATCAGTGTTGTTTTTTTCGTCCTCTGTTAAAACACTTCCTAGATATTTAATTTTTTATATTTGCTCCATTTTGGCATCTCCAATTTGTAATTCGCATGTTAGACTGTTCCTTTCACTGACAACTATAGATTCTGTTTTCTTACAATTAATGTATAGCCCTTTTTCACACTTTCATTTATTACTTTCTGTAAGCGCTCTTGTAGTTTTCTTTATGTTTCTGAGATCAGCATTGTGTTATCTGCATCAAAGATTTTTTTCCCGCAGTAGGTTTTTTTCTGCGGTAGACGAGTTGCCAGCCTCTTCTTCTCCCAGCCAGGGTGGGAGAAGAAGAGGATTCATATCATTTCCAAGGGTATTAGCACGTAATGAATTCGACTGGAATTCGAACTTGGCTCTCCGATTCCTCAATCCGAGCCGCTATCCATTACTCCATTGTATTGTATTGTATTGTATTGTATTGTATTGTATTGTATTGTATTGTATTGTATTGTATTGTATTGTATTGTATTGTATTGTATTGTATTGTATTTTTTAAGCATTCAACCCCAAGCAAGGCGGGAATCCACTAGCACGCAAAGGGTTTCAGAGTAGGAGCGAGAACAAAGAGGAGTGATAGAGGAAAGGCTATTCCACTTGTGAGGTCCCTTCAAATCCTACATTCTCACAAGTAAAGGAAAATGGAAAAGTGTTAAATTAAACTATTTGAGTAAAGCCGAGGATGATGACGGGTGTTTAAAATTACTGAAGGGTTATTTAGAGTTTACAATGTGTTATGACAACATGTAGAAGAAAAACTTATGACAGTGTCAAAAATATTATACACTTTGGCTGGAGACACCCTGAGATTTTGAGGCCATAAGCTCCAGCCTGCTAAGCCTATTGGTAAATCTGGAACTGGGTACAATGGCTTAAGACTATTATTCTGAAATAGAATGTAAGGAAAATTAATGAAGGGTTGTTTAGAGTCTACAATGTGATATGACAGCATGTGTAAGAAAGGCCTATGACAGTGTCAAAAATATTATACACTTTGGCTTGAGGCTCCATAGAGGCCCTGGGATTCAGCCTGCTAAGATTATAGGTAAATCCGCCACTGGATACTGCTATATGAAAAAAAAAAAAAAAAAAAAAAAAAAAAAACTAATGATTTTGTTCAAACCCTGTACAGGCATTTTGATCCATATTATTATCAATTTTCATTGTTCTTCATACTTGTATTGATACATGAATATCTTATGATAAATTAAATATGATTTGCGTATCCTGCAGCATTCTGACGCGCAAAAACCTGACTGGACTTGTATGCAGTATCGACCATTACACAGGATTATCGACTGAATTGTTCACATGATCCTAATGACTGCGTATCCAGATTAACTGTTTCAAGATTGAACTTATTTCTAAACTAGATCAGCAAACCACCCCTTCACTGATAAGCAACATGATAAGAATTTCAAATCTAAATTGTAGTACAGTAGAATCCCTGGCAACCGGATTAAGAAGGCCTTTCGGATATGAGGAATTAGTTACAAATCCGGACAGGAGGGATTCCAGGTATGCGGGATTCCGGATATGAGGCCTTTCGGATATGAGGAATTGGTTACAAAGTCCGGATATACGGGATTCCGGATATGAGGCCTTCCGGATATGAGGAATTGGTTACAAAGTCTGGATATGAGGGGTTATATTTAGATTAAAATAAAAGAACAATGTTTTATCGTAAACGAAATAAGCTAATGACAAATGAAATATGACGGAATTGATTTTAAGAAAAAAGAAATGTGTAATGTTAATGACAATTCATTCAATTAAGTATGCCATATATGCAAAACAACGATGATTTTTTAATTGCTGTTGTGTGATGATTCTTTCTCTTCTAATGTCATTCTCGACTTTTTCCGCATTTCGTTTTGCTTTTGTGTTTGAAATTTTTGAAACGAAAGACACTTTTTAACTGTGTGTGCGTTATTGCAATCATCATAGCTGAATGCTGGCTTTCTTTTCATAAAACTGACAACGTTTTCCATAACTTTTTCAATTTCAGTCCAGGTTTCACCACAGTGGTGCCTTTTATTTCCTTGTTCATTGTGACAGTGCAAACACTGGAAAATAGTTTCTTTGGAAAGTTTATATCATACAATGTTGACTTTTCTATGTTGAACTCGGCCATTAGTTACAATGAACTTTCACCAGCGTCTAGTCTGTTTAAAATTTCCACTTTTTGCGATAACTCCAAAGTTGTTCTTTTCCTCTTATTCCCATCATCTTTTGCACCAATACAAGCCATTACGGTGAAATAAGCATAAGCAATTATCCAAAGTAAATTTCCTGAAAAACATAAATTTCAAATCAGTTACATATCACCCAAAGAGTTCAAATATGCACATCAAAATCATGTCCGGATATGCGAGAATCCGTATATGAGTGATCCCGGGTATGAAGGATTCCGGATATGAGAGATTCCGGATATTATTCAGCAGTTTTGTTAATTTGTGTAAAGGTTTGTATGTTAATAAAAAATGTAACACTGCTTTAAAAAAATGTGTACATCTTTTTGATGATAGACGATAAACTACATCCGGTAGGCCTCTGATCAGGAGGTTTTGGGGAGCGTGGAATCACCTTTTAACTTCTGTTATTCCCAGGTCCACCCTGAGCGGGGGTGGTAGCATCTATTAGGGTCCCAACAATGGGCAAATAGTTAACCCACAAGCAAGGGTCAAAACACTATGAAAGTATAAAAATAAATTTTTATAGTAAAATAACCAGCAATACGCAATAAGACCTCCACATTCACACCCACTTTAATGAGGCATCCTGGGTATGACGATAAGCTACATCCGGGTCCTGGGTATGCCAGTAAACTACATCCGGCAGCAAGGTATCTGGTCAGGAGGTTTTGAAGATCGTTGAACCAATTCTTAATTACTGTTGCTCCCAGGTCCATCCTGACTCCAGGTGGTAAAACCTATTAGGGTCCTAGCTATGGGAAAAGAGTTAACCCCCAAAACAGGGGCCAAAACACTATGAAAGTATAAAAACAAATTTTTATAGTAAAATTACCAGCAATAGATTTTTGGAAAAAAAAATTACCAGCAATACATTTGATTCTACAAAAACTCTCTTTACAAAAATACATCGATGAAACCTGATCTACAAACTAATTTCTTACAAAGAATACATATTCTATTCATACGAATCTATCCTAAAAATGTTGTCGGCATTAAATAACCCATCGAGGTTGATGTGCCGTAAAACAAAATAAAGCAAACCAATCTAAACCAAAGATTACATATTCTATTCATATGAATCTATCCTAAAAATGTTGTCGGCATTAAATGACCGATTGAGGTTGATATGCCGTAAAGCAAAATAAACCAAGCCAATCTAAACCAAAGAATACATATTCTATTCATACGAATCTATCCTAAAAATGTTGTCGGCATTAAATAACCCATTGAGGTTGATATGCCGTAAAACAAAATAAACCAAACCAATCTAAACCAAAGAATACATATTCTATTCATATGAATCTATCCTAAAAATGTTGTCGGCATTAAATAACCCATTGAGGTTGATATATCGCAAAATAAAATGAACTAACCCAAGCATTTATTAGAAAATATATCCAGTTTAATTATAGGACGCACATTACGTCTTATACTTCCCCCCGACACTACAGGGTGAGTCAAAATTATGTTAATACTAGTATGAGAGGAATCATTTATTCAGTTTACTGATCAGTCTCCACCTGTCCTCCAGCTCAATTGACGCACAAAAACCAGCGATCAACAGTTCAATTTAGTGCATTGACACACATTTCATGGAGAATGTTTGATATTACAGATTTTATTCTCTCCTTGAGGTCTAACTTTTTTTGCTCTAACTTTTTTTTTTGCTATACCCACGATCCTTTATCCTAACCCATAACCAGAAGTCACAGGGTTGTCAGATCAGAGGATTTTGGCGGCCATGCCAACGGTCCGCTGCGGCCTATCCAACGATTTGGGAAACTTTGATCGAGACAAGCCGGAATAGTACGGGCAAAATAAGGCGGTGCGCCATTCTGTTGGAAATACCCTGCTCGCCTGATTTGTAGGGTTATGTTATCAATGGCAAACTCTTGCATCATTTGCAAGTCGGCATTTGCAGTCACCGTTGGAGTTGTAAAGAAATATGGGCCAATTACACTGTTTTTTGTACATCAATCGTGCTGGGGAACAGGTGGAGATTGTTCAGTAAACTCTGAATAGAAGATTCCTCTCATACTAGTGTTAACATAATTTTGACTCATCCTGTATTTGCATTGGTCCACTCATAAAAATAGGGGAAAAAATTAGAAATAATTTTTTCTAAATTAGAATATTTTACATATTTCCTGGCCCACTACACATTTCTTTTTTAGTCGGTGTCACCCCATGCAAGGCAGTAAAGCCACTAAGACACAAGTGGTTACAGAATGTGGAGGAATTAGAAACAGAAACATTAATAATGAGCGTCAAGAGGAAAGAGTAATCAGGAGAACAGTAGACAGCGATTGACATTGCATTTAATTTTTTGCAGATTGGCTGGAAAGCATGGAATCGGAAGGGAGTTCCACAAGCGAGAAGTGCGAGAGAAGAAACTGTTAGCATAGAACTTACAGTTACATCTAGCCAGCTCAACTATAAATTGATGAGAAGTCGACGCCATTCTAGTACTACGCTTATATTCTAAAAAAATGTCTAGGTACCATAGCGAAGAGCTCATCCGAGCAATTATCATGAAACTATTTCTAGAAAAAACACAGAGAGGCAACCTGATGCCGAACTGCCAGATCAGGATCAATAATATTGCTGTTTCTTCTTTGAATTTTATGAAGGAACTCAATGTAAATAGCAGGGGCACCGGACCATATGTGGCAGCAATAAGCATGATCGAATGGCAGACATATAGATATGTAAGATAGATTCTGGAAAGAAAAATTGTCTCGCACGACACAGTGAAGCAACTTTCTTAGCAGCTGACTTAGCAATGGTTTCAATATAGTCTTTCGGCTTCATATCAGAACGTTAACCCGAAAAGGCGCAACATGTCACTTTTTCTGGCGGTTAACATCAGCCATGCTGATGGTAGCAGAGAGGGGTCTCTCAGATGATTAATGGATAGAAGTTTAGTTCTGGAGAAGTTTTAGTCTTGTCAGAATCGAAAAATATCCATACCTGGCGTTTCCACAGTTATTGGACTTTGTTGTTCTTTACAAATGTCAAGTTTGAAACTGGGGTTATATCTTTGATATAAGCATTATTTTTTTTTTAATTTACTTCATTTTTGTGAGGTAATTTTTTCTGAAGCACATGTACAAACATTGATGGACAATAATTATTTATCTTAAATTAAGAATAAACAGAAAATATACTTTACTAATTTACGTAAATTTTTGTTCTTTAATTAAACACGTATATACGAGATCTCATAAAAAAGTATCAGGACGGTTGCTATAGTAACGGAGCTGAAATATGCAAAGTAAGGCTACTTGGCACAGACTGACCTTGAACTCTGTCGCGCATACACACTAAGTTATTACGTTCTCGCTCACATTCGTTGTCTATAGCATTGCTTGGAAGGAAAGTGTGTAGAGTGTAGTCGCCCCACACAGTGACCATGATTTGTTTTTGGCAAAGGACACCATTCCACAGGTTCGACAACCGCCATATTCCTCAAATCTCCCATTTTTTATCTCTTCAAAAATCAAATCCCTCTTGAAAGGAACAAGATATCAAATCGATGAAATCTAAGACAATGCGAGTTCCAGGAAGGCTTCCAGCAATGGAAACGATGCTGGATAAAGTGTGTAGCTTCAGAAGGAGACTACTTCGAACGAGATCAAATGCCGAATTGTTTTATACTGTAGTTTTCTTTGTATAGCACCAGTCCCGATAGATATTGATCAGATCTATTTGTTCTTTAAATCATTTTATAGCCAGAAAAAAATAAATGAAAAAGAAAAAGTCTGTTTTTGTACACAGAATAAAAAATTTCAGATAAGTCAGTGATCGATTTTACACTGTATCGAAATTTTTACACTCCCTTACTCCCACCAAACGGTAAAAATTATGAATACTAGAAAAACACAATGAAAAATATATCAAATTTCCCTTGTCTGTCATATTCAACGAAACATATTTGGAAGAAAGGTTGCTGCCGAAATACACATTATAATATATATATATATATATATATATATATATATATATATATATATAACATGAATCATTCATACAAAAAACAGATTAGTGAAGTTAATGATATAAATGGCGAGAATACATCTTCGCAAACAAATTTATTAAAATTACATTAACCCACGAACCTCTAGATGAATGTTATGATCCTTGTTTTTAATAAATTCAACTTGTATAAGGTCTTTCTTGCTAGTACTTTCATCTGTTCATACAGACATCATCAGGCATGGAAATTGATTTGTTTTTTTTCACGCTTTTGCGATCGTCAGACAAACTGTCTGACGATCGCAAAAAAACCCAGGGTCACAAACTCACATCAATCCAACCAAATATGTTAGCTCTATCTCTGATATTGAGCGCTTACATATAAATAATATATATATATATATATATATATATATATATATATATATATATATATATATATATATATATATATATATATATATATATATATATATATATATACACACTTCACACACACACACACACACATATATATATATATGGTGGTGGGATAAACATAGACATTGGTGATCATTTAGATTGGAATTTTAGATCTGTTGAGACGAACTGGTTGTATTTATTCCCCACCCCCTTTTCAGGAAAAGAAGAAGGCGTGAACATTAGTATATACCGTTTAGATTGGAAAAAAAGAAGACGAGATATTTTTTCTCTCTCGCTATTTCAAGAATGCAAACAATATTGGCCATGATTCGTTTTCGTTCTTCAAACGGATTTTGTATTCGAGTTTATTAAAAAACAATTTACACCTGCCATTATTTGGAATTGAATGAAAAATTTCTTGAAGGCATCTACAATATTTTCCTTTTCTCGTATATGACAGATTTTACAAGCATGTGATTTAGTACAACATAATAGGTGTATGCTAGAAACGTTGAAGCCTATTCACTTGAATGAAAAAAGCGAAAAGAAAAGAAAAAAAGGGGATCAAATACGAAACTGATGACAAGAATTTGGTTGGGTTTATCGTTATATGTATGAGCAAAGGAATGATCTTATGGATGTGATTATAGGTTGATGCGAAATTTACCATCAATGTTAGAGACATCTTAGAAATGCCGTTTTATTGGTTGTGAAATTGTAGTGTATCTGGAAACGTTCAGAAGTATGGGAATTAAGTTCGGATAAGAACTTCGGTGAAACTAAACTTTTTCTTGTTTTTCGAGACAGAAAAAATATATTTTTGGACAAAAAGAGTCAAATGAGTTACGAACGATGAAAAAATGGATTTATGAGGATTTTAAGAAGAAAATACTGAAAGTGACACACACACACACACACACACACACACACACACACACACACACACACACACACACACACACACACATATTATATATATATATATATATATATATATATATATATATATATATATATATATATATATATATATATATATAGGGTGTATCAAATGGTTCTTCACACTAAACAAGAACAAAAGTCCATATAAACATGTCGGCAAATCCTTCGTTTTTGAGTTATTAAGTTTAAAGTAAGTTTACTGTGTTGTTATGTAGACATGGTTACATTTGTCATTCGTGTATATTTGTGGATAATCTGTCTTCAATGTTTAACGTGTGTAGTAGTGACTTAACTGATAAGTATTCCGTTTAAAAATGTTAGGATATTCATATCGTGAGCAGGTAGATATGAGTTTTACATACGGACGAGCAAATGGTAATGGACATGTGCAGGCTGTATCAGATTGCGTTTTCAGACCGAAGGCAGCCGAGTCATCCAACATTTACTGCTGTTTACCGTCGTCTTGCTGAGAGAGGGTTTGTGGCACCACAAACTATGGTAATAAGTATTTTTAGGTTGTATCTTGGATTGTAAATTTAACAGCGTGTACCGTAAACTTTAAACTTAGTAACTCAAAAACGAAGAATTTATGGAGATATGTTTAGTGTGAGGAACCCGTCCTCAAAGTTTGTAAAAAGTATTTTGGTACCCCGCCTCTCTCTCTGTCTCTCTGTCTCTGTCTCTCTCTCTCTCTCTCTCTCTATATATATATATATATATATATATAAAAAAAGAAAAGAACAACAAGATATACAATCCGGTGTTCTTATAGATATTTTATTTTTACAAAATAGTGCTCAATGTAAATTTACAGAGCATTAATATTATAAATTAATTGATTTAAAATATGTTTTTTTTTTCGCTACACAGTTCTAACCATGTTTCAAAAATGGAAGCTAAAAGCCACGAATTTAATTTTTGTGATTAAATCAAAGACATTAGTTCCATTTCATCCTCAAACGATTCGCCTTGATTTTCTCTTCTAGGTCAACCTATTGCACATCGGGGTGGCTTCCTGTGGAACCCTCCCCTTGGTTAGGTTAGAAAAGCTTCAGTGTACCTAGTTAATGTGAGTAAGTGTTGTTCCTGGCCTGCATCCCGGCCGTTCTTTGGTTATGATCCAAGTCGAGATTCCCAACCTCCCAGTTTGTTTGACCCTTTTTTTTTTCATCTCGACTGGGTCAGTTTTATATTTTCCCATTCCAGCCTAATATTTTATACTTTTTCCCCCTCCCTTAGCGAGAGCGTCTCTTGATTTTGTCCCCTGGGCAGAATACAGCAGTCTCTCTGTTTTATGGGTTGGACGGTCCCTACTAACATCAATTATGTTTAGTTTGTATTTGTGTTTATTTTAAGTTTATTATTGGGTTCATTTCCCTCCCTCTCATTTTATCATTATTAGAATTGTATATATATATCATCATTAAAATTTTTAATGCATTGGGGCGCGATTTTGGTAGGTCTCCTTGAGAGCACGTGGTATTATGGTGGTTGAAGGATTGTTTGGTGATGGACGAGTTCTTTTGGTGAATGGGTAAAATGTAATGTACGAATGGGTCGCGAATCTGATTAGATAGTTAGTTTTGACCAGCATCTACCCCTCCCCTTTATTGGCCTCGTGTCACAATTTGTACTTCTTGTACGAATAAATATCAGTCTTGTTCTTATGTACATCGTTTTTGTCATGTTGTATTGATAATGTTATAATTTATGAATATGTCCTGAAGATGGTTTATTAGACCGAAACGTCCGACGTTGACATTATATTAACATTAAACAGCATAATTGTATATAAGGATTTTTGTTTGTTTTTTCCGTATATATTTTTCTTCATACTGTCGGATTTATATCCATATATTTGCTTACACACACACACACACACACACACACACACACACACACACACACACACACACACACACACACACACACACACACACACACACACATACACATATATATATATATAATATTAGTGGTCAATATATAACAGTTCAGCGCTCTTTTCTTTGTTTCTAATGACATTTTCCTGTTTCTTAATACTTTGCTTAGCTTCTTTTTTTTTCACTATTCCAATACGCCTT